GGGCGAAGGGGCGGGAGGATCAACGGTCAACGCCCTGGGAGGTGGTTGTCCAGGACTGGTTCATCGCTACAGATAACAGGAAACTGAAGTCTCACACCAGGTCGAAGATAGTGAAACAAACTCTTTCGTTGTGGAGACAACACGGCGAGACCAGGGGTCGGGTTGAGCNTCGTCAACAAGAGAAAAAAAAAAGGGCGAAGGGGCGGGAGGATCAACGGTCAACGCCCTGGGAGGTGGTTGTCCAGGACTGGTTCATCGCTACAGATAACAGGAACCTGAAGTCTCACACCAGGTCGAAGATAGTGAAAGAGACTCTTTCGTTGTGGAGACAACACGGCGAGACCAGGGGTCGGGTTGAGCTGTCGAAATACCAAGCGTGTGTAGTCAACTACAGGATTTTCTCAAAGGAGACTCCTGTACCTCTAGCCTACGCATTGCCCGACGGCTGTTGTGGACGGCGAAGACACGAGTTGACGAAAGTAGAGCAACACATCATGTACCTATGCTATGCATATAGATATGCCACAGAAAATGAGTGCCTGGATTACATAGCGTTGTTCTTTTTGAACAACCCCCGGACTACTTCTCGGCTTCGAACGAGGCTGAGCTCATCGACGGTGCGCGACTGTCGCTGTAAATAGGAGGCGGACTGGCAGCAGCATACATGTGTCACTGCTCTGCTGTTACACATAGGCATTCATCGTATATACATCCGTTACCGAACAGCAACAGCAGCAGTGGGAATGTTCATCTTCTAGCAGGCGCGTTCAACAACCGCGTGCGCCGTGGACGCATTTCAAATGAATTGCATACCTACAGTCAAACGACACGAAAACCCATCATCATGAGGGAACAGCGATACACACCTTCAGTTTCACGGGGATGCAGGGCCTGGTGCCCCTCCCACTCAAATCCGTTGCGTCCGTAGTAAAGCCCTTCCAACCAGCGCTCTTGATCTCCTTGACGAGCTCCAGGAAGATCGGATACGGCATCCGGAACCTTCTCCTGAAAAGCCTAGCATCCTTTGTAGTCGGGTCGGCGAGGGCATCCTCCTTCTCCCTGAGCATGATCGCCCACGCACTGTTGTGGTAATCGGGACGAGGATATACTGTCCGCTTCCTCTTCGCCGAAGGTTCCTCTGTAGCGTCGGCGAAGAGAAGGGACCCATCTTGGAGAGATTCGTGATGGCAAAACGCAAGCAATTGCTGGTGGTTCAAGATGGCCATGGCAACGGCGATAACCCCGCCCAGGATCAGCGGTAGGCTGCTGTCGTCATCCATGGCCTTAGGGTGGCGGCAACCAGGCGGCTGGCCGTAGGGAAGCAGTCGCGATGCGCGCGCTGTACGTCCACGGGAGGACAGTGCTGGTTTGTTGTTGTTTCTCACATTAGCTCTAAAAAAAAAATGTGCTGAAACTAGTCTCAACGCTGGAACCACACACATCAAAACTGTGTGGCGGTCGTTGATGGTGGGCTTGTTTTCGCACCAGTACTACTTACCAGGGTTGTTCCCTGTGTGGCGATTCACGAATGAGCTGAAGGTAGTGTCAACGCCGGAACCACACACATGAAAACTGTGTGGCGGTCGTGGTTGGTGGGCTTGTTGTCGCACAAGTACTACTTACCAGGGTTGTTGCCGGTGTGGCGATTCACGAATGAGCTGAGAGTAGTGTCAACGCTTTGCTGGTGTACTGATGTGGTGGTGATGATGAGAGGTGGCGAGATTCAACCGTTGTAGTAGGGCACGCCTCCAAGAACGGCATCAAACCCAAATCGTCGCCGAAAAAATCTCGCAGCGATTTGGGCCTCCAAATCGTAGCGGGCAGAGCGATTCCGGGGTATATACGATTTCAAATCGTGTTTTTCCGGCAAATAACAGCACCATAGGGGTTGGTATGTTCTATCGGCCTCACTACAAACCCAAATCTCAACAACTGCAGACCTTCCATAAGAATTGGTCTTAACAACCACATTTTTTCAAATGGGGGTTTCTCTTTGATACAGTCACGGAGCCCCTAGAACTATTTTTTGAAGTTCACGGAGTGACTAGAGCTTTCGTTTGAGCACTTCAGCGTCGCAATCAGAGCATCCAGCGACGAAATACAGCAGCACCACCACCACCCACCGCCGACGCGGGCCATCTTCGGTCTTTTGCTGGTTTTGCTGATAAGCATGGGTCGCCGCCAGGTGGACCCAGAGCAAGCTCGGAAGGCATGTGAAGCAGTTAGGGCCGTTTTAAACTGACCGACTTTTTGTCAAAATGTTTGAAAGTGTCAAAAAAATGGAACCTGTATGTAGGCGTTTGTCCATATTTTTTCAAAATATTTGGAACGAAGTTGGGCGCGAAAACTTTGCTCCACTTCGTTCCAACTTTTTGACAACCCTCTCAAAGTATTTGGAGCACTTTCCAAAGTACCCTTGCAGAGGCACGCGAGGGCTGCTGCGTCTGCACCACGAGTGCCCCTCACCGTAGAAAGTCAGCTAGGGTTGTGTGTGGGTCATGGCCGACCGTAGAAAGCGCGGCGCGCCTACAGATTCGAGCGGCTCTCCTCGCCCACGGGCACGCGCAATACAAAAAAAAAAAACGGCGGTCCGCCATGATGGCTTGCAGTTGTTGCTTCGCGTCCGCCGCTTTGTTTTTTCCTTTTCCCGGGGGGGTAGGAGCAGTGGTTGCCACCCCTCGCCGGCGGAGTGTTGGTGGCGGCAGCGCCTCCCGTGGTAACATGAGTGTTCCCCGAGATGCCAGGCAGCAGCACTATCTTGCTGGAGAGCAAGCCTCCACCGCCTACGGCGGCACCGAGAGAGCCCGTCTGCTGGAATTTCGCCGGGGTTTTGGTCTGCCGGCCACGCTGGGTGGTCGTGATATCCATGTCGGTGTCCATGATGTCGTGTTTTCCGCGGTTTGTGTTGTGTCGTCTGTGTTGTCTCGAAGTGAGCGCTACAACTCACGGACGGCGTCATTTTTTTTGACACAAGTTGCACAAGTCTACGTCACACGTTTAAAATGACTGCACACAGGTTCCAAGTTTTTGAAAGACAACTGTCGAAAATTTTGACAAAAAAGTCGGTCCGTTTAAAACGGTCCTTAGAGGTGGCATGAAGATCCGAGAGGCCTCTAGGCTCTTTGGGCTCGATAGGTGGTCGATTAAGAGCCGTCTCGATGGCGCAGTGGCCATGAAAGCAAAAGTTGGTCCCGCGACTGTCCTGAGCGAAGAAGAGGAAAAATTCTCTTGAGTATGTTCTGCTGTACGCTGGTCGNGATAGGTGGTCGATTAAGAGCCGCCTCGATGGCGCAGTGGCCATGAAAGCAAAAGTTGGTCCCGCGACTGTCCTGAGCGAACAAGAGGAAAATTCTCTTGAAGATGTTCTGCTGTACGCTGGTCGTCACTGCTTGGCTGTGGGTCGGCTGCACCTGCTAGAAACCGTTAGACAGCTGTGCAACGACAGTCGCCCGATCCCTTGGGATCCAGAGAAGGGTTNATGAAAGCAAAAGTTGGTCCCGCGACTGTCCTGAGCGAAGAAGAGGAAAAATTCTCTTGAGTATGTTCTGCTGTACGCTGGTCGTCACTGCTTAGCTGTGGGTCGGCTGCACCTGCTAGAAACCGTTAGACAGCTGTGCAACGACAGTCGCCCGATCCCTTGGGATCCAGAGAAGGGTTCGGGGAAGGACTGGCTAGCTGGCTTCCTCAAGAGGCACCCACGGGTGTCGGAGCGCACGACTCGCATCTACGAGTCAAACAGAATCACTGAGGACAACGAGCCTTGCATCGTCGAGCTCTACAAGAAGTTGGCAGCTATCCTCGACGAGCACAAGCCGAAGGCCGACCACGTGCACAACACGGACGAGACAGGTGAGGATGTACTTGTTGACTAGCCTAGTCTAGACTAGTGTGGTATCAGTAGAAGCTGCAGTGTGCGAGCTCGTGTGCAAAGACCGCGAAGATGGCATGTCAACATCTTGCGGACTTCTGGTGTGCGGCCGAATTTTCAAAGATACAGGGCGTCCTTCTGGTGTACGTACGTACTGCTGTACTCTATCTCACCTGTGCTGTGCGCCCTCGCACCTGTTCCATGTTGCCGAAGTCGACGCTGTCTGTGATCTAGAGTGGTCTAGAGTAGAGTACAGCAGTTGTTCAGACTGCTAACTACACAAATGTACCATAGAGAAAGGGCTGTGTCGCATGGGTTTTTTGGCCGATTGTTCCACGAGTCTACCCTGCAGAAAGTGTAGCTTGCGGGTACAGCAGGACAGCGTGCATGTGTGTAAATGATGTACAGCAGACGAGTCTAGTCTAGGACGAGTACCGAGCATAGAATAGGCTTGCTGGTGCTCTTCCTGCTGCTAGTCCAGTCCAACGACCGCCGACGAAAGTAGACAAAGTAGGTGGCAGCTTGCTGCACGAAAAAAACATGACCGCCCCGCCCCTTCGGTGAAGCGCGGTCTATCCTGCTAGGAGAGCGGTAGACTGTCCATTGCATTGTGTTTGTGTGTGTGTACACCTTTGCATTTTATATCTGCCGTAGCTGGTCACACCCCTTGACCTCCACCTACGCGATTTGGCTCCCTCTCTCGCGGGTGTAATCAGGTCCCACACCGCAAGGCACGAAGACTATGAAGGCCTTCGCGGAGGCAGGGCAAAAGGTGGTTGAGTCGATGCGGTCCAACTCGCTAGAGAACACCACCGTGGTCACCACCATCAGCGCCAATGGTGCCACGTGGGCGCCAACCATTATCTTCAAAGGACAGCGACTCCAGCCTGACTGGTTCGCCGAGAGGAACGGCCCGAAGGATGCGAGGTACACTTGCACGGACTCTTCCTTCATGCAGGGCGACGTGTTCATCAAGTACCTCAAGGACTTCCACAAGCAGCTTGACGACCGAGGCGTGCTCGACGGAAAGCCGCACACCCTCGTGCTTGATGGGCATGCCTCACACGTGAGCTACGAGGTCATCAAATTGGCCATGGAACTCAACATCATCCTCTTCCAGCTGCCCTCCCACACGTCGCACATCACCCAGCCGTTGGACGTCGTCGCTTTCGGAACCTTCAAGAAGGAGGTGACTAAAGTGCTGCAAGACTACTACCACGCAAACGGCGGGTTGTTGCCGCTGAAGCGTGACGTGCCCGGCGTGATCGCGGCGGCTTGGCAAAGGAGCTTGACACTGGAGCGGAACAATGCATCCTTCGGCGGGGCGGGGCTGCGGCCTGTGGACATGGATCGAGCGCTGACCCGGCTTCAGGGCACGGCGAAGAGGGAAGAGGGGCCGACCGGGCGCCCACCCCTAGAGGATGTCCCCATCGCCATGACCCACGAGCAGCTGGAAGAGGCCANCAGCCGCAGCACAAGGGGCGGCTTTGCCCGTTCGCCAGCCGGCACCCTCCTTGTCCCGGGTTGGACGGCAGCGGACCCAGACACCCGTTGTTGACGCGTAGCCGCCTATGAGGCGCTCCTTGGTTTGTTTTCCACCACACCCAGAGAAGGACAAAACAAGCTACAAAAGTCGTCAGTTTATACGTGGAGTCGGTACGTACCCTGTTGCACGTTGCTTGTTGATAGTGGCGTAGGCAACGACGGCGTTATAGCATGCCAATGGGGCGGGGGGGGGCGGCAGGGGGCGTTCGACCGAAAACCGGGGATGTCGTCATTCTGTCCCCGGGTGACCTCCATTTTTGTTTTTGCGATACATGTTTGTCATTCATGTCTGAATGCTCCCTCCAAATATTATGTCGTGGGGATGTATAAACAGTCCAGAATAGACTATCCAGGGTTAGTGGTGTACGGGGCTGATTCTTGCCGTAGCGGCACGCAAAATACCGAAAATATACCCATTTTTGAACAACTATTTTTTGACGGCAACAACTCCTTTCGGTGTGATTTTTTTTTTCGTGGTCGGCTTTTGACAGGAGCAACCCGTCATGCCCCAAACATATTATTTTCATTCGTTTTCGATGCACATATCACGCCGTACAGGCAAACGGAGGCAAATCCCGCCCCCCACGTCTGCGCCAGTAACCCGGAGATATCCAATTTTCATCCCCTGGTGGCACCGAAAAAACAATAAAAAAACTTGATATTTCTTCACGGCCATTGTGTTGGGCGCACGTGTGCCAAATCTTGAGTCTTGAAACGGTTCCAAACCCCCGCAATCGACCAATCGTCACAATGGTTGTTAATACCCCCCGGGCCGTTTCACCCTCAAGACTTCAACTTCAACTTGGGCAAACGGAAACAGTTGTGCCTCGTCACAAACGACGATTTTTTTTGGGGGGGGGGACAGATAGGTGGTGATGTTAGCTTTCCTTCGATACCTAAATATCTTCGTAATTGGTTTTGCTGTCGAAGAACGAGCTTTTGGCGCGGAAGGTGGCTTTGGTGGTTGTTAATACATACCCGCCGCTACTCTTGTCCTTTGCGCCTGTCGTATAGGTGTGGTCGGTCAAGCGTGGAATGGAGTTCACATCTGTATCGTGCGAATTCGTTCATCCACCACAATCAATCGATGTTTTCGGCCGGGCTAGGGTTCGCTATCCCAGGGAACCATTGGGTCTAGTAAATGCGTGGGTGATTGATGACATCGATCAGTCACCCACGGCGAATTTGAATTTTTTGAATTTTTTCAAGAGGTTACGTCATGACCATGGATGCCATCACTGGTCGATCATGGAATACTCCGCTCCAAGGAAATTTCCTTTCAAAAAAATTGGCCAATCAGAAAACTGCCGACGCCTTTTCTCCCTCTCTCTGCGGAAACCTTTTTTCTCTCTCCCCTTGATCCGCCCATTTACGTACACAAAAATTCACCAAAAATTCTCTCATGTCCGACTGCCGCTCAGGTTTAGATGCGCCACGTGATATACTTGTTGTTTTCAGTTCCAGCTTGGCGTTCTATTGTCCACACGCTCAGGTGCCTTGTGTCGGAGATGTTTCAAAGAGGGCGTACTGATGCAAAGATGAGCGCCCCACATGGGTTTCAGATCGATACAAACGCTAAAGCCTTACAAAAGGCCCGACCCGGGGTAGGGCGGGTCTGAGTTGTGGGCGCATACTTATGCCGTCCTATATCGAGATTTCCGCCCTACTAATCACACTGCCAGATATGCCCCCCCCGCCTGTATGTACTGTACCCATAACGAACCGACGTACCACATTGGAGTGCTGAATACTGCTGTAGTGGAGTGTCATGAGAACCGAGAACCTGTCCAGATATTTAGACTATTACAGTATTGTTCGCAAAATCTATCGTTTACACGACACTCCTCCTGTCCGATGACTCTGTATTCTTCCGTCCGGAGCCAAATATAGCAAACATCCCACCACAAGGCGACAAGAAGCATAAGCCACCAATGCCCGCCATATACTTCTTTTCACCACACGGGCACCGCTACAACCGGTCAAGCTCTTTCCTCAATCCCCCCTTGCGCCTCATATGCATTTAGAACAAACGTGTCCACGGAGATTTCTGACTGTATCTGCATGTCTCCGCCCCTACAGCGGCAGATCAGCGGAACAGAGTATGTTGTTCGTCTACAACCCGCTGCGAACGAATTGTTGGCCATCCCTGCCATGCAACAGCTGGTCCATGCCTCCACTCCTTCTTCGTCCTGCTGTCTGTTGGTGCGAGAAGCGGTGTTCCAGTACTACTAGCGGCGAATGCTATTTAGCCGCTGACCGCCGGTGTGGTACAGTAGTTACGATGGTCCGCTGCTAGCAGGGCAGGCGAGGACATGAGCACGAGAGCATGCACAAGCGAACAAAAAGCAATCCACCAAGCCACGCCCTTCGTACCCGCATGGCCCGCGGCAAAATGGGAAGACAATACCTGGGACGGCGCCGGCCAATCCATCCTCCTGTGGTTGAAAGCTGCGGCTATCTTGATGTCCTGTGACAGAAACGACGCTGAGAAGCACCGCTAGGACCGCCAAAAGCTGGGGCTTCATTGTCACTGATGGGGGATTGAGATCATCGAACACGTACGCAGGGCCTTGGCTGGCTGGACTTACGCGGCGGTCCTGCTTCTGCTGGTGTACGTGAAGCGTCTGCTGCCGGGGAAAGGTGAAGTGCGGCGTGATAACGTTATCTACCAGCTTGGGCGACTGACTGCGGCGACGAGATATAAAACTATTCCGAAATGTCTGGATCGAGAATAATTGAATGTTCGGCGTGAATCTGTACGGGAAGGGGGAGAGCCCGAAGGGGAGAGACGGAATCTCAAATGTCAGAGAGGCATCATCGCACACGGCAGAAAAAGCGACAAACGTTTCAATGAGTAAGGCGAACTCTCAGACTGAAGGGGGGGGGGCATGGTGCGCTGCAGTTTTGAGCGCGTCAAGCGTAGCCTAACCATGATGTATTAGTGTTGCGGATACCTGCTTGCTCCACTTGATTGGAAGAGGCTAAAGTTCGTCATTGCTTCCGCCCCTTTAGTGTAAGTGATGTCGCCGCTTTGGACACGAAGTTGCTCGTTGCCAAGAACACAATTGGGCGCGATCGCAATTCAACCCACTCGCCTATCCACCGCAGATGCGTCAAGAACCATTCGACCTCCCCCCTCAATCGTGCGCGGGACTCACAGCGGTAGGACCATATTCTCCACCTTCCCACGCTATTCAAGGCGAGCCTGTCTCGCCAAGGCCGAAACGCGTCGTGAAGGACGTATCCAAATTGGCTGCAAGACGGCGACACATGCTGCACAGGCAATTAATTGCGTGAAGCATTATCACCCTGCTCTATGTCTGCGCTATTCTGTACTTGCCAAGCACGAGCCGACTACAGCATGTGCGTCACCACTTGGGTGTTCTGTGGCAGAATGCAGGCCTCTAATGATAATAATATATAGCTGACGAAATTCCAGGACGTTCACTCTTGGCGGTGACCTCGCAGGACCAAACTGAGACAAGGCAAGAAGTCCTATATTATGGCTCTACTCGTCCAGTGGACGGAATTCCGGCAACTTCAGTGCAACGCAGCAGTAAGTCAAGTCACTTTGAAACGCTTCACCGAAACCAAGGCATCTTACAGCGCAAACGAGTTAGACTAATGATGATAGTTCTCCTCTTCGCCCCTGCTGGATTCTCCGAACCGAAAAGTGGTAGGATGACGAGGTACGACGACTTGCCTTGACTCACACCAGCCCTCGGCAGCGCACCGATCATTTCACCTTGCATCAATGGCGGCACCAGCAAAAAAGTACAAAAACCACCCCCTCGCACGCGCCATGGCGTGGAGGCAAGAAGCGCGATTTTTTTGCCCATCAACTTCTCTGAAACCGAGCAAGGTACAATGCCGTGCCAGCCGCAGTTGAATGCGCTAGGACAGAGGAAGCCTGCTCCGCAAGTCTCCGCAGTGGCCAGGCGAGCGAACACGCCTACATGTTGAACCAGTATTCGGCCTGATGCTTTTCCGCCGCCCGGTCAATAAAACCATATGTTGCTCTCATCGATAACTCTCCAGCCTTCTCACCCAGTAACAACGAACAACGAACCCTAACAACACCACTTTGGACGTACTGAACGTTGTATTATGAGGGATTCGAAGGCATCTGTTTCAATTCTCGGTTTCGAAGGCATATGTTTCGATTCTCGTGCCCACTCTTTGTCCATGTATCGTTTCCCCGGCTGCCCTAGACTACAGATGGTGATTCTCATGACACCTTCGTGAGCAACATCATCGGGGTGATTTCAACCGTGGTCCGTCGGGTAAGTGTCAGTCATCAAGTATTGTCTAGGAGAAAGAGCGTCGTCGGCCCGATGATGTTGCGGATCAAAGCAATTTGGATTTCAGAACAATGAAGACGTCGTTGGGGGAAGTCGAGGTCCGAGGCCTCACCAAGATCGAAGAATAGACTATACGTGGAGATCGATGTCCATGGACTTGTCCATGACGGAGGAAAAGAAGATGACATGAGCACTGGAGGGCGGCCCGTAGCATTCAAGAGCAGAGCCTCAAGCGCATCACTCATCTCATGTCGGATAATGTGATCTCGTAGGGTACAGTTTTAGTCCGTTCGAAGGGCGCTTAGTCTACATAGTTTGGCCAAGACTCACAACGGCTTTGTAGGGTTCTCAACGAGGGAATGTGAGCGATCTGGGTAAGCTACAGTGCGGCATATTGTCGGAATTGCATACCGTTGTAGAGCCGGACTCGCAGGAACCCGTATCATCGCCTCGGAAAAGGTTTCAGATCTACGCCGACGTGACAATCTCAGGTGGCGGTTTTCCGTTGACGATGAATACTGAATGCGAACGCCAGATGATAGGTGCCTGTCTTCCAGAATTCGCTATAATTGTTTGTGCACGGTCCGAGAACACAATCTCACCGCCACTCGCCAATCGCCATAAGCACCCCCTTCTCCCCTTCCTTTTCTATTCCGTTCTTGCTACCACGTATTGATTCTGTCCGTTGTGAATTGCCCGGTGAACCGGCATCAAGATGCGGCAACGCGAGATGGCTTGCCAGCGTCAGATCTCTGGTGTCGGAGGGGTATGTATTCGTTTGTCGTTCCTTGCTCGAGCGCCGTGCGTGCTTGGGGATGAAAACCTGAACCTCTCCACAGCAGTACGCAGTCCACAATCCTTTCACGGTCGACGTCTTGGTCGCGTCACCTTCAAAAGCGCCCACAACGTCACCCCAGGTCCAACCACCAACCCTATCTCCCGGCGATAAGACCGCTTTGGTGTTGTTCGAAGGGGTCCTTTCTCGGGCGTAATATGACATCATCGGTGTTTTCTAAATTGATTGAGTGAAAAAATAGCCATCACATGAGGAGCACTCTGAGTTCGAATCCCCGTTTATGTCCACGTCCGTTTCCCTCTCTTTGACTACAGGTAATGCCCCGGCTCCCCTGGACCGGTCGCCATTTGGTTATTTACGATCGACATCTTATCAGTGTGATCCAAGTCGCGTTTGGTGGGGCGGCCGTGCTACGTATTATTCACAAGGCATTTTCTAGAAACTTTCGCCGTTCGTGGAGCAATGATCAGGATCAACATTTGGTTCTGTTGAAGCATGTACAGCAGACGGAAGATGAAAAGAATGCAGTAAATCAGCGCTGGAGTGAGAGTTTCCGCATCGTTCATCAGAACACATTCAATCAAGCCATGTCACCCTTGGGCATCTGAAGTCAGCTTGCTCGCGTTGGCTGCGCCCAAATCCGACCCGATCGCAAGGAGCGCTTAGCAGCAAGAAATTTAAACAAGGTACTCCGAAACCTCGGCGTGTCTTCACGATTGACCCACGCGTTGTCTTTTGGGTGCCGGGTGTTGAGCCACATTGCAAAGTTTTTTTCTATATTTCTGTCCCAAACTGGGGGATGTACACGTTGGTTGATGCGTAAAGGATACGGTAGTTGTAGTTCGGAGACATCACCGAAATATTGGGTGATCGGCTCACATATTTTAGTCTGCACAACAAGGGTATGGCTATGCAGCAAGCAAAGTCGGCAGCCACAACTAATCAATACGTAAGCATGGCACGGCTGAAGGTTCGAAAATAGGCAACGGGCGATAAAACATGGACTGACGATCATTAAGCCTCCGGGACCGCTCGAGCTTACAAACCACTGTTGAAGAAGCCTGATCGTGCGTGCTGCGTGCGGAAGAGGTCGCAGTGGCCTTCTCTTCGCCGTGTCTCGGGCAGAGTGGTGCAGCTACGTGGGTTCCTTAAGCTCTTTCTGTAGGTGAGACTACAAGGCATGCCCGACGAAGTGGTACGTATTCACTTCTCGTCTTGGACAAAGAAGCCAAAATGAACATCTGTCAGCCTATTGCGAAAGCTTGAGTCCGTGGATGTCCGTCCATATCACCGTGGTATCCGAACCATCAATGAGAAGGTATCAAATTTATTTAGTGATAAGAGAACAAGAACGGCCGACATTTTTCCGATTCATGAAGCCCCCGCTACTGAACGTGGACGACGGCAACGCGCGACGCTGAGCAACAACACTCGAGACCCATCTCCATCAACCAACGCCCGTCTAAATTGAAGCACGACACGTCTCACTACAGCAACACCCAGTAGCGTCTCGCAGGACGGCATACCTATACCCTAACCTTAACCTCTAAAACTGCATATGTGTCACACCAAACCACGTATTGAGAGAAAGGCATCGCGAAACACAAAACACAGCACGCAATGTTGAACTGAAAAGAATGCCCCACACGGAACGACAACACGCTTCATCAGTGTCGTCTTCCTGACGAAGAAAACATGCAACACTGAAAAAAAAAGTTGTACGAAAAAGAAATTGCTTACGACAGCGCCGAACACCAACAACGAACCCAGACAGAACAGACACACAATAATCGATACTTGCCATTCACTACGGCCTAGAACTGTCGTTACCATGACAATGCTGTACCCCGACGTTGTCACGACGAACAACGTCGTCAAAGCGACCAACCGGGACAAAACAAAAAAAAAAGTTTCTGTGGTTGGCAAACACTCAAATAGATGATATCCCCAGTGATGTCACACATTAACTCACCCGCCCGCCCACCCGCAAGCTACGGGTGACACGTACCGGCACATCGTGGTGCGGCCACCTCTAAGTAAGCAACTCCCTCCGTAGGGCTCTTCCAAGCCACAGAGGGAGGGCAACTTCTGCTGCCTGGAGGCCCGCTGTGTTGGAAGCCAGAAAGATGCTGTAGGTTGATATCTTACGTCATGCAACCTGAGGTAGGCGTCAAGACACACCAGATTGGTCGGTACGGCCGACAACAATAACAGTCATCATACTTGGAACTGACCCGGCCCGAGAAGGGGCGACGCCTCCCCCGCCTGGAACCGCTTACTACCCCCCCACCCCCCTCCGACGTCCCTCCTCTTCTCCCTTGTCCTCCACGGCCGCCGGGACCCCAGCTCCAGCCAGAACTCCTTGCCGAGCCAAGACTTTCGCCGTTGACGATCGTGCACCCTGGGGTTGTTCCAACTGGTGCCGCCGTGTCGTGGAGGGGGTGGCGTCGGCAGACCCAGCCGCCTCCTGCAGGACCTCACCTGAAAATCGTGGCATAGCAGGAGGGAGGATGGGGCGGACAATAAGTGCAAAGTTGAGGGAAACAATTATTTTTGTTATTGGAGAGTCAAGCCAAGGTCATACGGGGCGTGTGGGAGAAGGGAGGAAAGGGAATGTGTGTGTGCTGTAATCTGCTGGCTACTCACGCTTGCGGGAAAGGGTCAACCACAATTATTGAAAGGAGTGTTAACTCAACTTGACTACAAGTATTTGTCTCTCGACTACCGCGATTTGTGATACGGTAGGGGAGAGTGCTCCGAATACTCATGTCGTTGTACCGTGGAGGCGCTGCGTAGGGCTTGGCACTATGTTGCCGTGACAAAAAACACCGTTTTTCATCCTTCCGTACTTTTCTAATCTGACTGACATCGTGTTTACATTTAGCGAAGCCCTCGAGAACGCGAAACTTGGCGCCTAGGCTACTCAAGAAGACCAGATGATGGCTGCAAGCAAACGTACCCCCCCGCGCAGGACAATCGGGTACGATACAACACGAAGGTACGCCACTCTGGAGGACGCTCCGCGCCACTTCCATGACCTGCAACAATCACCGCCGGTACCACCCCCAACCATCGTGGTCCAAGTTCGACTTGGCTTAGCTTACCACTGACTCTCTCGGGGCTGGCTCTCCAGGGCGGGTGTACAGCTTCAGGCCGAGGCTGCTCAAGACGACGAGGCTGGACGAAGAAGCCATGAAGAGGGCCGCAAGGGCCGGGGTCACGCCCAGGCCTAACCACGGCTTCAGGAGACCCGCGGCCAGCGGAAGAGCCACCACGTTGTAGCTGCATACACGCACACCAGAGCAAGCCGAGATTGCGGGAATCAAAAATAGCGTAGTCGGATGCATGGCGTGCGTGGTGTTTCGGCGGCGCCACGAAACTCTGTTCAAAGTGAAAGACGATACTGACGCATCTGGTTTCGATAGTCACACGCAAAAAAACATCCTTGCGATTCGATAGAGAGACAGCAGCGACGTACCTGAGGGCCCAGACGAAGTTCATTCGAATGCGGCGGAATACCGCTCGGCTCAGGTGAAGCGACACCACCACGTCCCTCAAGTCGGACCGCACCAGCACCATATCCGCGGCCTCCACAGCCACCTGAGGACGAAAAAAAATGTTGCGAGAACAGAAATGCCTTGAACCATTACTTCTATTCGAACCGGCAGCTTGATTCGAAGCCCGGTGACACGTGAATGATGTCCCTCTCCCTAAGTGAGAAAAGCTCAACATGTCACATGGCGTGTCACAAAGCCGGGCTGATTGTTGAAACGGCTGCGTGGCCCCCACATTAGGGCTACCATATATGTTGGGTGGATAGCCGGTTGAATGCCGAGGGGACCAAAGGAAACGAACCAACTGAGGGGGCCGACGGACAGGAAAGGGTGCGGGTGTGGAAAAACAACAAATATTACGAACATGTTACGGTCACCGCTCTCCATCAAGGCTGCCGCACCTCCAGGTGCTTTATCTCTAGTCGGAAACAAAAGCGGCACCTACACGAAAGCAAGGCCGACCTCCCTCCATCTACAATTCCCGCCGTGAATGCTGCCTGGGAGAGCTCACCTGGGTCCCTGCTCCGACGGCGATGCCAACATCAGCCATGGCCAGGGCAGGAGAGTCGTTGACCCCGTCCCCGACCATAGCAACCGCCTGTCCCATTCTCTGCAACTCCTGAACTTTTCTCGACTTGTCTGCAGGAAGGACGCCGGCCATCACCTTCCCCCTGGGGATGCCGACAATCGCTGCCACCGCCTCTGCGGTTGCACGGTTGTCTCCGGTCACAACCCATACGCTGATCCCCATCCTGCAGAATTCAGGGATCACATCAGTAAATCGTTTGAGGGGGGAGGGGCGTCCCGTGGTTAGCTTTATGTAGCTAGTCCATGTACACCTCGGCCCTTCTTCTCGACAGGAGACAAAAAAAAAAGTTGCGGGGCCAAAGGCAATCATATCTCGATCAGCGCGTCGCCTGCCAACTAAGAAAAAAAGTGTCAACATCACTAACGTATTCCGGGAGTTCCTAAGCTTTACTTTTTGCGAACAGACTTTGTGCCGTTTCGAACAAGACGCACTGCATACAGGGAAGCACCCGAGAAAGGACAGCCCTTTTCTTATTGCAACGGCGATGGCGGCGGCGGTGGTTTCCTCCATCTACCTGTGCAGCGTCCCCACAGCCTCCCTGGCCTCCGGCCTTACGCTGTCCGCGACGGCCAGGACTCCTTTAGTCTCCCCGCCGCCGGCGACAAACACCACCGTTTTCCCTTGCCACTCCAGAGACGCGGCGTGCCCCTCGATCTCCGGGGGAATGCGTACGTGGTGCCGAGACAGCCAGGTCCTCGACCCGACGAGCACGAGGTCGCCCTTGGACATCTTCCGGTGACGCTCGCCGGTTGTGCCGGAAGCAGACCCTGAGATGTCGGTAGGGGGCGGGGGGGACAGCGTTAGAAGGCCTGCACAAAACAGAGAGGTAGGGGCATTGGGGGTCTGGCCGGGGAGACAGAAAGACAGAGGAAGCTGTGTTAAGACTACCACCACCAACAACAACAACAACAACAACAACGACAACAACGACAACAACGACAACAACGGCAAAAAAAAAAAATCGTGCCATTAGTCAAGTAAGGCAACGAGGCCAGATCCCGACTCACCGCCCCTTGACAAATCAAGCGAGACAAACGAGGCCTGGTCCTGACTTACCGCCACGATCTTCGACGATCGTGCACGAAACCCCCATCCCCGGGGTAGCCTGGAACCCCTCGACGACAGGCTCTAGCTTGGAAACCCCTCTCGCTCGAGACGCCTCGACGATCGCCGAGCCCACCGGGTGTTCGCTAGAAGCTTCGGCAGAGGCCGCCAGGGCTAGTACAGAGTCCTTCGTGTTTGCCGCGCCCTGAAACAGCGAAACAGAAGAGTCGACATTGTGAGGCGGGGTCTGCAAAGCGAGAGTTCTGTTTGGGAAGCGACACTCGGGTTACGAGGCAGAGGGTTTGATTTAGCAGAGTCAAGAAGGATGTAGGGCACAGTTGAAAGAGTACGGTCGCTCCAGCCTCATGGTGTACGATATTTCGGAACACCTGTATGTACATACTTCCTCTGTCACATAAGTAAAGTCCGTTATGATTACACGGCCATTTAGCCGTGTCCGGTGTTTTAGGCGATACTTTTATTGAAATTTTGAGCGTTTTTCGGGTTGAAACCCATATTTATTTATTTTTCTTGCGCACTACCCTGCATGCACTAGCGGCTTACAAAAAAGTAGTCAGGCCAAAAAAGGCCGTATTTTGCCCCTTTCCATGAGGGTGGGGGTGGGGGTACGAAACGAAACATACCAAAAAAAGAAAAGAATTATCCCGAACCCTAAACCCAAGGTTACCTCTACTGAACGATCCATTTCGCGTCCTCCCATACAAAAACCAACATAGTAGTGAACCCACACTAAAATCAAGACATTTTCGAGGCCCACACTAAAGCCAAGACACTTGGGGGCGCCACACTAAAATCAAGTTACTTGCGGGGCAAAGCCGACAGGCGTAGGGTCCTAACCCTACCCCCCCCTTGTACTCAACGACCCATGTCGCGTCCGCCCAATGTTTTCTGGGGTAATCACTACCAACGCCGTACCGCTCGGCGAGGGGGCCTAGAAAGCCCTTGGGTACCCTTTCTTTGCCCGGCGGAATCGCCAACGCTATCTCCACCGCCATGGCGTACCGACAACCCAACGATACTTCCGCACCCCGCTTACGACGTGGGGGTGTCTGGGCGTCGTCCCCCATGATAGCTACGTCGTTGTGGTGGTAGTGGGTGCTCATACAGCACAAAGCTGCAAATATTCTTTAAAATATTCTCAAAATGTTTTCAAAATATTCCCAAAATATTCGCAAAATAGTCCCGTATTTGACACACTAATTCTCAGTGATTGTGAGTCGGATTTTTTTTTTTAAGTTATGTGCGTAACAAGCGCTTTCCAACAAACCCAACTAGAGCTTCAGGAACACCTTGGCTGGTGAGGTATGTAAATTCCCCCATAACGGACTTTACTTATGTGACAGAGGAAGTATGGACGTATCACCGACGCTCGCTTGAAAGTGGCCGTCCTCCTCGCAATTCCAAAAAAAACAATAAGAAAGCGGACAAGTCAATTTCTTCGAGCTTCAGCGGGGCTACGAGGCGCAAACCACCAGCGGTCCCTAAGCCGATCGAGCGTCCAGGCGGGCCACACTGCCACAACCTTGGTCGGAAAAGGGTACACGCACCACGCCTTGAAGACAACGCCGTACCTGCGAAAACACGTCCGTGAGGGTGGGTTTGTTCATCGTAAGCGTGCCGGTCTTGTCCAGCAGCACCGTGTCCACCTTGTGCGCAGCCTCGAAGGCCGCCCCCCCCTTGATCAGCACCCCGTTCTTAGCGCCCACCCCCGTGCCCACCATCACCGCGGTGGGGGTCGCCAGGCCCAGGGCACAGGGGCAAGCCACCACAGTGACGGCGACAGCGGTGAGCAGCGCGAACAGGAAAGGGTCTGTGGCTGTGCTCCCTACCGGAGGATCGGCGAGCTTCCCGAGCCAGGTGGGTCGGGGGTCTTGAGAGAGCAGCGCGTACCTGATGCCGTGTGGCATGCGGAGACAGGGAAACACAGCGACGGTGGCGGATTAGGTTGGGTTCTAGAGAATACTTCGCTCGGGCCGGCGCGGCGTGTTGCTTGTGCCGCAGAACCTGTTGAAGTACACGTGAGGGTGTATAGGTTGGGTTGTTTTGCATGTCGTGTCGATTGCTCGTAGGATGCCGGAGTTGGTCGACACCGATACCCTCTGAAATAGTTCCCAGCGCGTGCTGCTTTCATCTCGAAGTGAGTGTACTAGCCCACGGGGCGTATGCGGACGTCCCGAAACGTCTGCGATTCTCTTGCATTAGCCATTTGGTGCTCGTGATGTGGTACCAACACAACATACCACACCACACCATACCATACCATACCATACCATACCATACCATACCATACCATACCATACCAGACCCTACCATACCATACCATACCATACCATACCATACACGAATACGACCGTCCCCACGACGACAAGCACGACACAACACGACACGACGCGCTCCCTTCACCAGTACGGTGGGCGTGCGACGACGCCGCACGCCCACATCCATCACCATAAAATGTCCAAGCCCAACCCAGCCTAGCGTAGCTCAATACCTCTTGCCGGGTGGTGTTGCGGGTAGTCCGTAACCTTACCAGGAGATAAAGGAGACCATGGCCAACGAGAGCACCACTGGGGCGAAGATCGAAGACATGCGGTCCGCGAAGGCCTGGATGGGCGCCTTGGACGACTGTGCCTCCTGGACCAACCTCACCACTTGGTTGAGAGCGGTGTCCTTGCCGACGCCCTGTGCTAGCATCGTGAAGGAACCCATCTGGTTGACGGTCGACCCGAAGACTAGGTCTCCCGCAGCCTTCGTCACTGGCATGCTCTCGCCGGTGATCTAACATACAGTACGTAGGCAGTCGATGTAAAGATGCGGACGGCAAGCATCGGTCGTTTTTAAAGCTTGGACGAGGACGAGGTGAAGACGTCAAACGGGCAGCGCGGATATCGCACTTGTGCCATCCCATCGCTGGGGCCTTATCTTGCAAAGGAGGTCCCAGAGAACAACCCAGCATCCTTCCCACTACCCTCTCTCCTGTCTGTCTGTCTCTGTCTCTGTCTCTCTGTCTCTGTCTCTCACTCTCTTCGTGTCTCTCTTTCTCTCTTTAACCTTCTGTGTGGGTCTCTTCCCCTTTGAGCCATATTTATATCCACTTCGTCTTCTTATCTCATCTCTTACCATGCTCTCGTCAACGGTGCTGTTTCCGGATACCACCACACCATCCGCGGGCAGCAGCGACCCGGGCTTGACCAGAAGCCTGTCCCCGACCTGAACACGAACGAGAGCGCACGACCATTTCAACCAACGCTTGGTTAGTGTTTGGATACCAACGAAATGCAGAACCTCAACCATCAATCTTTGGTACCAGCAACACCATCACAGCAGCGGCATCAGACAGCTCTGCTGCTCGTGGTGAACAGCCCAAGGTAGATCACGAAATACCCTCGTTTGTACGTGGACACAAAGGGGCAATATGATAGCTTGTCTGCATGCTGAGACGACGCCGAGGTTGTGGGTTGGTTGAACGGCTAGGAATAGCAAACCTCTCTCAACATTCATTCGACACATAGTGCAGCGTTTACCTTCTACTACGACCTTCTTCATACTTCACAACATTGGCGCCCTCGTGCAAGCAAAAAAAACGAAGGAGCAAGAGAGCAAGAGCCGGACAAAGACAACAGCGAGAGCTTATTTTTCATTTAACACGGCGAGACAGACGCAACCACAAGAAAACCATTTCGCGTCCACGAAACACGTCAAAAAAGTCATGCTTCGCGCGAGATCGATCTACATCCTTCACCTGGACGAGGCCAGCATCGATCTCCTTATACTCCATCTCCATCTTGTTTCCTCTCCGCTTCTTCTTGGCGACCGCGCCGCCGTGGCCATTGACGCTTCCCGCCACCTCGGTGCCCACGGAAACGCCTGGCGGAGGCAAAAGTAGCGCCGTCCTAGGCTGTAGCTTCACGAGAGCCGTGAGGCTCGACGAGGTCTGCCCCTTGGCGATGGCTTCCATGAGTTTGCCGAGGCTCACGAGGGTGAGCAGCATCGCGGCGGTCTCGAAGGTGCACTTAGAAGGGAATTCGGGGTCGAACGAGCACTTCACCAGCAGCACGCACACGCTGAACAGGTACGCGCTCGACGTGCCTATCACGACCAGGGCGTCCATGCCGAGGCTGCCGTGCTTGACGCCCATCCAAGCGGCGCGGTAGAAGCGTCTCCCGACCACGAACTGCACTGGCGTTGCCAGGACGAACATCACGAAGTCGCACAACGAGATGCCCCCCACTACCGGTGGCCCCTCCCAGAGCATCAAAACCTGCCTCGCCGCCGGTGCGATAGCGAACGGACGTCGACAATACCATCATCATCATCATCATCATCATCATCATCATCATCAGGGGAATTGCTCTAGCGCGATGCAAAGGCACTGCAACAGCCCATTCCCGGATTGCAAGAGAGGGCGTTGGCGTCGGGTTTCCCGTCAGGATCGGCAGTGTCGCATGCCAGAATGTCGTCCACCTTGTACAACAGCGGCAATAAAACGATGCCAAGACAGCTTTGACCCTTCTTGCTCCATGCTCTTACGCACTGGTTCGACGCCGAGGCGCCATGCAGGAACACAATCAAAAACACAACAAACCAAGTCGTTTCTAGGGATACCCAAAGGCACACCTGAAGCCAATGCGCCAACAACAGGGGCACCGTAAAGAAGACTGAGAGCAAGCAAAGACGCCGCCACATCGCCACGTCCTTCCGCGTCATCTCCTGCAACCGCTTCATGCCCGAGAGGGCGTCGCCGCCTAGGTCGACAGCCTTCACAAAAGGCACGCGCAAGAGATAGCCGAAACAGAAGTAACAGACAGGTCACCAACACATCCGAGTCAGGTTGACCACCAAACCTCGATCCTAAACGAAGTCGTACCCATGAGCGGTATTAACCCTTTTGGGTCTACAGGCGTCCTGACAGATGATTGATTGATGATTGATTGATGATTGATTGATGATTGATTGATGATTGATTGATGATTGATTGATGATTGATTGATGATTGATTGATGATTGATTGATGATTGATTGATGATTGATTGATGATTGATTGATGATTGATTGATGATTGATTGATGATTGATTGATGATTGATTGATGATTGATTGATGATTGATTGATGATTGATTGATGATTGATTGATGATTGATTGATGATTGATTGATGATTGATTGATGATTGATTGATGATTGATTGATGATTGATTGATGATTGATTGATGATTGATTGATGATTGATTGATGATTGATTGATGATTGATTGATGATTGATTGATGATTGATTGATGATTGATTGATGATTGATTGATGATTGATTGATGATTGATTGATGATTGATTGATGATTGATTGATGATTGATTGATGATTGATTGATGATTGATTGATGATTGATTGATGATTGATTGATGATTGATTGATGATTGATTGATGATTGATTGATGATTGATTGATGATTGATTGATGATTGATTGATGATTGATTGATGATTGATTGATGATTCATTAAAGGCTGATGTTGTGGCGTGCCATGGAGTTGCCGCCCTGTATCCCTCCACGCCAGGGTGTTGGCAAGTCAATCGGTAGGTTTGTCTATATAATTCGCATCGACCGCGCTACCCGGTGACCAATGAAAAGTCATGTGCCAGTGGGTAACATCAAGGTCCCTGGAACGGCTAAAATTCGAAAAATGCACACCGCTCTAAATGGGAATGCTACCATGAATCTCTCCTGATGTCCTTTCACAGAGACACACATCAATAGCTCCACATACATGCCCTCGCCCGAATCTAGCAAGTCACTAACGCAAAGACAGGAGGACAGCGAAAAGGGGCACTTCAAGCCCAACCAGACCCGGATATCGTGGTATGCTGCATATCGTCCAAATTTGAAAATCGTACACTCCCAAGATCCAGCGGTCATCATGTCAGAACCGCAGGAGGGGGTCCGACCCCCCCCTCCTATGTGACCCCGATTGGGTCGTCTAGCTGATAGAAGTGGAGGATAGGGGCCAGAGGGGCAAACGACAGAGTCCAATGATGGGAGAGAAAAAAAAAAAAGATGTCAGCAGCTATGGTACACAGCAGCAGCAGTATAGACGAGTCCAACATACCGCAGTACTGTAGTAACACATACACGATCATCATAGCCCCACACATACCCTCGCCCGAACCTAGAGAGCCACTGATGCAAAGGTAGGTGTGTGCTGGTGTGCTGGTGTGCTTGCGTGCTTGTGGGAATTGTGGGAAAATCACATGAGCTGTAGTGAGCCGGCAGGGCGCAGGGCTCACAGTGGGGAGGGGATAGAGAAGCACAGAAGTACAAGAACCAGCTTCGGGTCTACAAGCCCTCGCACTGATCATTTTCACTGATACTTTGAATATAATGAAAATAGAGTAGTGTAGGCGGGTTGACGACTGATCTATTCGAGGTCTACAAGCCTAACCTGCCCTACCGGCCGCACCGCGACCACACACCAACCCTTCTATGACCCTGTCTGTACCCACCGTCCTGTCGCGGGCAGCCATCACGGCCTATGGGTGGAGATAGCTGTTGCGTCTACAGAAGTACACTCGTCTCTTTCTGCTGTACTTCTGTCGATCTCCCCGCACTCTCTCCTGCCGTTTTTTTGTTTTCCCGTAGAAAAAAAAACGAGCTAGACCCAAGGGGGTTAATGCACGGTACACATCTCAGTCATGTAACAGACAGTTCAACCACCCAGAAAGCATCTAGGTTCCCACGAAAAAATGACAAAAGGTTCTTCTTCCTTCCGTGTGCTTAGATACCTTGGCGCCAAACCCGAGACCTTCCACGGCGCGGATGACGTCACGCACTCCGCTCGCCTCTTTTCCAGTACCCTCTTCCATTGACGAAGGCTTGCCACTGCTTCCGTCGCCTTTGAAAGTGATGCTAGCGCGGCCTGTGGTAACGCTGACGGAGCACGAGGCGACTCCGGGAAGGGCCAACACGGCTCGCTCCACCTAACACGGTGGCGGCGTATTTGAAGGGTAAAGAAGCCGTGATGACGCGTCGGGAAAGGCAAGGACGGTCAAGTCACCAACAGCAGGCTCTGCACTCTGGCCCTCAAGCCAAAGCGAAATAGATGCTCACACGAACTAAACGGGCCACAAGTTTGGCTAGCCATTCATCAGCTCCTCAAAGCTCGTTTACCTTCCCGCTGCACGAGGTGCACGACATTCCGGTAACTTCCACCTCCAGGGTGTTTGGCCTACCCCCCCCCCCTCCGCCGCCCGCCTTGCTTGTTCTGACAGTGCGGAGGTGCTGGCACTTGTACCCCAGGCTGGAGACTCCTCTTGCGATGTCCTCCGGGGCAAGCTGTTCCGTGTCATACTTGACCTCTGCCTGCTCACGACAGAACACAGCGTTATCCGCACGCGTGGGAGTGAGAAGGACCGTGGAAGGTCTAACGAGATGCATGAACGAACCGCATGCTCGACTTGGACACACACCACATGGCAAATGAGTGACAAGCCCAAAAACAACATCGTCTAGAAACAACATGCACTATCGGCGACCGCCGTGCTGACGAAAGCCGCGGTTTGTGGACCGAAACCTGATCCCGAATCAGCAAAAAAACGTGACCGTCGTCAAAGAGAAACACACAAGCCTTGCCTCACGTCTTTCAAACAAACACACGTGCACGAGAAAAATCCAACAGCAGTGATACGTTGCATAGATAGATCGTATGCCATTACCGTTGCCTATGCCGCACCTGGCCCGCGAGAAGAGCAACGCGAACTTCCCCGACGCCCCTCATCGCACCCACGAACCGTTCCACCTTGCCCACACAGGCCGCGCACGACATGCCTTCCACGGTGAAGCTCCCGGTAGACAACACCAGCTGCCCGCCGCCGCCGCGAACGTCGCCGCTCCGGCCTCCTTTGGCGCCACCGTTCGACGAAATGACGACGGCGCTGGCACTTCTTCCCCCATTCTTCGAGCCACGACTTTCGGTGTTCAGCTCTCTACCGGTGACGGAAGACAACCGTAGCTGGTGCTGTGGCTGCTTGTTGGCAGGGGCCCTCCCATTCACACCGGCCGGTGGTGGTTGTCGTGGTGATGGCCCCGGCGCCGCGGCGCCGCTCGCATCGAAACCCACCGTGACCACGGCGTCGACAAGGGTCCCGGTGGATAGCAAAATTCCCCGTCCGCTGCTACCCCAGACCCTGGCCCTCTTCTCGGCGAAAGAGACCTCCGCGTGCGACACTCCCGCGACGTTCTCGAGAGCCTGCCGCACGGTGGTGCCACAGCTGTTCTGGCACATCATGCCCGAGACATCCAGTTCGACGGCGGGGGCTTCGGCTGCCTCGAAACCGATCGTTTCGATGGCGTCCACGAGGTCCGCCGACCTCAAGCCCACCCCTTCGCTACCGCCACCGCCCCACACGCGCGCTCGCTTCTGCGCGAACGAAACCTCGGCGCGGGACACGCCGGGCACGGCCTCAAGGGCCTGCCGCACCGTCGTGCCGCAGTTCTTCTGGCACATCATGCCCCCGACCGCCAGCACAACGGCCGGAGCAACCTCGGCCCCAAACCCGACCCCTTCCACAGCGGCAATTAGAGCGTCCTCTGTCCCGCCGTGAAGCCAGACCAGGGCCCGTCGGTCTGCGAAGGACACCTCCGCCCGGTGCACCCCGGCGGCGGCCGCGAGAGCGGCTTGGACCGTGGTTCCGCAGTTTCGCTGGCACATCATACCCTCCACCTCAAGCACCACGTCCGGCAGCACCGTTGCGCCGAAACCGACGCTCTCTACCGCCCGGACGATAGACTCCAACAAGGCCGGGTCGCCGCCGGCGATGCTGCCGTCGCCGGTCCACACTCTCGCGCGGCTTTCGGCGAAAGACACCTCCGCGCGGAGGACTCCGGGAACCGAGGTCAGAGCCTGCCGTACCGTGCTGCCGCAGTTGTTCTGGCACATCATGCCCTCGACGGCTAGGACGATGACCATCGTGGTTCTGGCGCTGCTGCCACCGTACAGCAGTGCCGGTGCCTATTCCTTCTTGCTGACGCCGCCGGCGGTCAAAGCCTCTCTTGTAACTCGCCGCTTGTCGTCGCCGCCGCGATCACGGCGAACGTGAGTCCGAGCCTATGGGACGTCAAGGTGCCGTCAGGCTCGGCGCGCTCATGCACCACTACCGTCCCCCCGAGCTGCTCGAAATGACGGCTGCCCTGTCTGATTCCACGTCAAGACTCGGACGTCCTCGCCCACCGACGCAGGTGTTGTGTTTGAGTTGCAAACCGATATTCCTGTTCAATGCACGCGGGAGGGTCGTTAGGACGTTGAAAGGGAGATGGTCACATTGATGCCGATGCGCATGGCATGGCAGCGTGGTGCGTGTGGCATGACTTGAGATGAGGGCCATGATCTGTTGGTGCAGTGCGAAGCTTGTCCGTGGTGTTTAATGCATCTATTTTGCGCTGGTTGCGGCTGCCAAACAAGGCGAGCGGTGTCCGGCGTGATGTCAAGGCAAGAAAAAAAAACACCACACACACTACCTTTCGTCTGACCCCCCCCCCTCACGGGGTACCATACCATAAAAACCTGCAAAAGCGTGTTGCCATTTTGTGCATTGGGAAGCCGACAGAGACGAAATCAACGTATTTCATTGATCAGCCCATTCGTGTGGTGATTTTAGGGTGTAACAATCAAAAACAACAAAAAAAAGAACAAAATCGCTCTCGTCTCGGCACCAGCAAACCGGGCTGTATCAGAGAATGATCCGAGCGCAAATTCGACTCTGGAAGGAGAGAGACTACGGGCCTCCACCAGAGCTTCTCGTGGGGCGCACACCATTGCGGTATTCTACTTGCTTCGCCCCTACTGTGTGCGCGTGTGTATTTGCACGGCACGCTGCTCGGACGTAACTATCCAAGGGATGATTAAACCACTATTGCTGGTGACAAAACGTTAAACGCAACGAACAGATTCCTTACGGTGGACCCGCCTGGGATGCAAACCCTAGACAGTTTCTGTGCGACAAGGGGAGCAAACAAGTGCTGAGGGTGTTTTCGCGGAGGGCATGCAAAAAGAAACAGAAACGCATTGCATGTACTGCTTTACACATGTTTTTGTACTCAGCACCAGCTGGTATAACTGATATAAATCATCAACAGATAGACTTAAATAGACTCGTCCAGTACCCAGCCGGTTTTCCTCCACTCACTGAAAAGACCACCACATCCCGTTCGGCTGTGGGTATATCTCGGATGGGTAGTCTTTCTGTTTCATTTTCTCGATGTACTACTTGTTTACAGTTTAGAGAGCATTCTGGACTCGGTGCTCCTGATTGTTGTGGGGGTACAAAAAGTGACGGTGTTGCTGATTTTTCACGTGTCTAAATGGGGAAATACAGCAGTAGCCCTTGGTATGCCCTCATAAACACGAACCGCGACCGAGAGTCTACAAGCTCTTGACCTCAGCTCCCCAAGGCAAACGGGCATGTGCACTACCGTACCTGCTGCCTTTTGCTATCCAGGCGATCACGAGGGGACGACAGCAGGATACGGCGGGCAAAAAAGGCGATGCATCTGTAGCTACGGCACAGCGACAGCCCCCTTGAGTGTCTAACAGCTTGGCACAACCCTGTTCGGAGAGCCTGGTGGGCACATCGACCCCCCTCGCCCATCTATCCTGACCAGCGTGATGGCAGCAGGCACCTACTACTGTTGTAATGGCCGCCGTCATCCAGATATATATAGACTATTGCCCGCTCAACCGCGTCACGGTTTCTTGAGAGGCCAAGGAAGGTCAGTGACCCCATCCGTGCAAAAGTTGGACATTGACAGAAAAACGATAGAGTAGGCTTTGCCGGGAAAGACGTCTCCTATCAAGCACAGGCTATGCGATGGCCACGCTTTCCCCGCTAGACTGCCCTACTACGTACAGGAGTAGATCAACACAAAATGATGCATACCTCGCACGCGCAGATTTGTCAATCCGTCCGCCAACTTCAGGCAAAGCGCTGTACCATAAAGTGCCCTCCAGCTTGCTGCTGAAACTCGCTGTCCCCGCAGAGATCGAGATGAGCAGTTACGGACCCACCAGCTAACGCCCGGCAGGTGTTGTCGCGGGCTGCCTTTGAGTGCGCTACGGCGTGTGCACGCCCGCATCCTCCCCAAAGCTCTAGCTCGCTCTTCCTCCAACTCTCGTCTCATAGAAAGGTTCTCGGCCCTTTCCGGAACTGGAGAGGTTGCGCCGCACGGCGTCAGTTCAACCATTGTTCACCACAGCACCAAACCTCGTCTACACCTCGTGCGGCTATGTACCACGAATCATGACCTCCTCATTTTCGCTGAATGTGATTGGTATCGAGGATGGCATGTTCATGGGCAAAAATCCTGGTTTCGGTGGCTGTATCAAGCAGGTGGCGGCTGACTTTTTGGTAAGCGTGACAGCTCGCTTGTTGCATCGTCAACGTGTAGCAGTAGTCTACTGCTATACACCGTCCGTGTACAGCATAGTCTAGTGTAATCAGACATGTGCTTCTCGTACTAATGTGCTGCGCTTGTACCGCCTTTCAAAACAGCAGGCTTTGTCCTGATGTACGAATTAGTTTGCAGAGGGCGGGTCCAGAGACAGGGTCAAAGACACCAACATTGCATATGTGTACGGATCGATCGCTCTTGTTTTTCTGCATCTGCATTGTGCGGGCGCTGCCTCAAGCACGCACAACAGCATCCAGCAGCAGCTGTGTGCAGTCACGGCGGTGCTTGTGAACGAGATCCTCCGAACACATGTAGGTACCTAGCATGCAAGCCATGTCATCAGCTGCTCGGAATGAGCAGCTGCACTTGTGCCTGTGGCATTCCACAAATTCCAGCACGAATTTCATTGGAAGGAACCGCCATGTTGGTTCAAAGTGGTATCTCGCTACGCTCCGCCTCACGTGGTGGAGGAACCGTACCAGCTTGAGCCATGTCGAACCACCCAAGCATGCCCTATGGGCACCTGCGCACTCTCTGCAGGTGAACGAAATCGATTCGTCGGGCCGGCTTGTGGAGGCATCAAGCCTCGCCCTTCCTCCCGCGCCCCCAGCGCCAGTGTCAGCATCTGGGCGACCCATACCATCAACGGCGGCCGGGAATACCACGGAACAGCAGACCAACCGCAGCAAGATTGGAGATTATGGCGGTGGCTCTTGCACGCGGGGGGAGCAGGCGCAAGATGACTCTGAGCTCGACTGGGCCCAAGAGCTGCAGCGGTGTCTGGCGGGGTCAGAGTCAGACTTTTCGAGGCTAGCAAGGCTCGACGCCGCAGCGAGAGGAGCCTCAGCACCAGCCCAAACGGCACCGTCGCCAACGCCAGCACCAGCGGTTGCGGGAGTGGGCTCAGCCGAGAAGAACGAAGGAGAGGCACTCGCTGGGGATGTGACTGGGCAGGAAGCTGGAGCTTCTGAAGCAAGGGAGCAACAATTGGCGGAGGCGGAAAAGGGAGAGACGGACGGCCCTGTACGGGTTCATGCCGGGCAGGGGGCGGACAAGGCCGCTCGGGCCAGGGTGCATCGCGCGGTACAGGAGACATTTCCCTTCATCAAGGTGATGAACGGCTCTCTGCCGTGTTTCTTTGATTACGCGAGCGTTTTTTTTTGCGCTGGATGATAGATCCAGCGAGGTTCGCCAATATGGTGGGCTCAAATTGTTGCTAGGCTCACTCCGCGCCTTGTTCGGCGTGTGTGTACATCTCTTGCCGTCATCACGACCCCGAAGACTACAACTGAGAAGGCCCCCGATGGAAGCGTTACGGTGGTGTGCACCCAGGCTTCGCCACTTCCGGAACTTCGTGGACTCTTGTCGGGACCGGATTTAGAGGCTTTACAAAGGTAAGATATCCTGCAGAGATCGGTAGTCTTGTCGCCGTGTGTTCCTGTTTTACCGCGCCGACGATGGTTGGACCCATTACCGAAGCGTCGCATGCTCGTCTTAGAGGCGGACGATTGCCTCGCAAACAGTTCTCACAAGCCATCCCACACGGATGTGGCTTTGGCTCGACCCACCGGTCTCGGCAGGTCCACCGTCCGATATTGCCTGTCGGCGTTTATTCCTTGACACGGTTCATTTATAACACCTTCTCAGGCTGGTCAACCGAGGGCCGAGCGGGAAAGGCGCAGATTCAGGCGTGACTCTGTCATCCGACATGGACCGAGCGAACAGAACCCTGGTTCATCGGGCCATTTCAGGTACATACTGCTGTTCTGGGTTACCTTGAGAATGCAGGTAGCATAATGGCCATCTCTCAGGAACAGGGCAGCGGCGGCGATTCCACCTTTGCTGTTCCGGCTAAGCTACGGGTAGGTATTTCAAAGTCCACCCGACGTGCACCGGCTAGCGGCGGGATTCTCGGGGCCGAACCGGACGACGCCATCCGAATATCGAAATATCAGGTTTGGTCGTTTTGCTGCGGCGCATTTGTCGATGTTTCCGCCAAAGCCGAGACTTAAGCACGCATGTCTATTCCCTCTACTATTACGTGGTGCGATCGGCCTTTCTTTCGTCTTGTTGGGAAGCCGTTGATGCGCGGAGGGATTCACCGCGTGTGCTAGCTAGACGGAACCCCCGCGGAAGAAACTGTCGTTTCGTGGAAAGGCCGGAGATTTACGAGATCCTGTCGTGCTTGGCTTCCACCCCCCCCTGTTCCCCCCGAAGAGGCGTTTCCGTATCTGCAGACCAAGACGTGCAACGACCCGAAGGATCCAAGTTCCCAGCGGGTGTCCGTGTTCTGGAGCAAGCGCAGGGGCGGTGGCGGTGGCAGAAAGCGGAAGCGCCAGGGGTTGGACTCCCACGGCGGCAACGATTCAGCGTGAGAAATCGATGTGGCCCCGAACTGACAAACACGTTAGCACGAGCGAGGGAACATGCGGCTAAGTCGCAGGACTTAGAGTAGTGCTCGAGCGGCTGATGGGCGTTTTTCGCGTCGGCTTGAAGGGTCTGCGGCTGTCTGTTCTGGTAGAAAAGGGCAAAAGCCTCGGCTCGCACCAGGGGCGGTCTTAACCATGTATGTCTCAAAATGGTGCACGAAGGGCAGTAAGATACAGGCCGCCGCCAATGTGTGATCGGGGTACGCAACACACGAGCACCTGTCCTATGCACAAGCCGGAACTTGACTCCAAACCTCCCCACCGGCCTTTCACCTCGCTCCGCCCGTGCAAACTAACCGTGACAGCCGCAAACGGGCGGGCGCTAGCGAGGGCCACGGAACACGATGGGTTCGGTTTGGCCTCCGCAAGGAAGGGCGCGAGCACCACATGACCGCGTTAGCCTTGTCCAGGGTATGCTTCATTTCTCATGCGGTTATACCGCTGTCTTGTCTTGATGGGGCGGTTTGTTTGTTGAGCTGGTGGACTGGGTGGTAAACGTGCATGATTGACACCATGCTTTGGTGTTGGCGAAAATGATTGCTTCGGGGCCAGAAACTTGGATTGAACGATGTAATGTCGTGGATTCACTATTTCGGCTGGTCTGACGATACTCAAGTACATCCTTTCTCTCTCTCTCGCTCTCTCTCTCTCTCTCTCTCTCTCTCT